TTTATTAAGTGTTTTTTCAGTTAAAATGCAGCCTCTAGATGTTTTATTATTTCGGTCTTGACTCTTCTGTAAAAAAGGTTAGATTATCACTAACCAAAACATTTGGATGCAGAGAAGGGGGATGAACGAGGAGTCCAAGACATCTTCATAAAAAAGTCCATTTCCATCTTTTATGGCACTCCAACTAAGTTAAGTGCATGAGTCTCTATTTTAACTGGCATTGTTCTTCTGGTTAAAGGTGTAGCTTTATTCAAAAGGGTATCAGAATCATAACATTGTTTTATTTCATAGGAAAGACAGAAGAGCTGAAAAATCTCAACAAAGTTTTTCAGAAATACGAGTAAAGGCTTTCTCCTCTGATTTTATCTCCTTAAAATAACTATCAGGGTACAGCAGAACACTGATGTTAATTTCTAAAAATGCATACTAGGTTCACATGTTGCTCTATTTAAGATGGGGTATGTCCAGATAAACCCACAGTAAGTTGAAAATATCACAAGCTGAAAATGTATTTAATACACCTAACCAACAAAACATCATAGCTTAGCTTAGCCTGCCCTAAGCCTGCTCAGAACACTTACATTAGCTTACAGTTAGGCAAAACCCTCTAACACAATGAGTACACTGTAGACTGCAGAGTATGCATTGTTTACCCTCATGACTGTGTGGCTGACGGAGCTGAGCTCGCTGCCACTGCCCAGCATCATGAGGAAGTATCACGCTGGTATCAGGAGGCTAAGAAATGATCAAAATTTGAAGTATGGTTTCTACTGAATGTATCTGGCCTTTGCACCATTACAAAGTTGAAAAATTGTTAAGTCAAATCATTGTAAGTCAGGGGACCTTCGTATTTAACTAAAATGATGGGCAAGTCACAGAGAACCTGAAAAAGGAAATCCAACAGATTCTGCCCTTCCAGAATGGGTTTCAAGTGGTCTGGCTCAGCTTCACAGGGCAGTCTGTGCTGAGCACCAGGCCTCGCACCTCTGAAGCACTCAAAAAAGGAGACTTGTTGGAAAGCATAGAAGGATTTGCTCAATGTGTGATCTGATCACCCTTTCCCCCTGTGCTAAAGACTGTACTTGTGGTCTGAGAAATGAAATAATCGTGCTACAATGTGGTGTATCACGTAATTTCGATAGTTCAATCATGAAATTCACTTGAAACAAGGCCTAGCCTGGAAATTATTACAAAAGAAATAAAAAGATGGCAGGAAATGACATATTTATGAGGTTATGGCTATTCTCTCCAGATCTTCTTAAAGTAGCTATATTAGGAAAAGGAATCTTAGATATAAAATAAATAGCAACTCTTGAGTAATATTTTAGCCTAAACAGAAATTCTGCTACAATTCTCTCCCTACAACTTGATGTTCATTTTTTCTTTTCTGAGTAATTCTTAATAAACTTCCCATTATGCCACCTCATTCTTCACTCCTTTCTCGTATTTCATTGGCTCTCATTCACTGCCACACTGATCTGTCCGTCTTTCACAAACCAGCTCAAGTTCCACTTCCTCCTCAAAGCTTTCTAGACTAATTCAGTCCCCAAGGATCTTATCTCCCCTAACTTTACTGCCACGAATTTACTGGTAAGTCATAATGTTTTACCTTTCTCCAGGCAGTTCTGCTATTCAGAATTTTACATAAATGCCTACATACCCAATCTCCTAGCTGACCCCTGGGATCTTGCAAACTGGAAGCATCTGTTTTTTGATTCACTCAAAGTAGTCACTTTTGGATTTTTGGGAACACAATGCATAATAAAACACATATTTTTATATCCTAGTCTAGTGTGTACATATGTATAAACATATATTGAATTTAAAAGTTCAATGAACAATACTTATTTATCTTTCTATTTTCCTTTATTGTATTTTTTTTGAAAATAAAATGCTATCGTAGCCAATAAACTGACTTCACAATGGATTGTGCCTGGTTCTAGAAGGGCACTTATCAATTACTGTGGGATTGTTGTATATGTTTCTCTCACTTAAAAACATAATTATAAATTGTATGTGTCTTTGGGGCTTTCTGTGTCTGTTACACTTCTGTTCGTTCAGTTTGTCTTTCAGAGTCGTCTGGGACAATGAAGAGCTTGTAATATACAGTATGTTTCATCCTTTTCCTCAAACACTGTTGTCATAAAAATAAGATTCCTTGCATTTCTGTAAAACTCAAATTCTATAAAAACCTTAATTTCTATAAAAATCAAATCTCCAACCCTTAATTCTTTTTTATTTTCACAATATGCAAAGTAGGTGGTAGACATTCTGTGGATGAAGAAATTGAGGCACAGAGAATTAGCATTTCTCAAGGACACGTCTCTCTTTCTACCAGTCTATTATAAAGGTTGCTACCCTTTCTAGATATGTATCTGAAGCATATAAGCTTGGGTAATGTGAACAACAAGGCTCAATAGAAATACATTTACCTGATGCCTTTGGATCAAATGGTTGACTAAGCAGATGAGTTAGTGGCTCTTCTGAACTTTAGCCTGAGGATGGATCTGCCTCCTTCTCTATCTCTATCTTCTCATCTTTACCTGCTCACAGATTTTCAACCACCTAGAGCTACTTGTTCTTCCTGGGGCTGTGCATATTTGGTCACTGTACCAGGACTGCCCTTCTCTCTCCTCTTTATCAGACTGCTTCCTCTTCTTCTTCTTCATGTGCCTGGGAACTGTCCTTGCCCCCTTGCCCTCTCGAGCTCCACAAGCTGGCTCCCACAGCACCCTGTGCTCACTCTGCCACAGCGCTTAACCAGCTGTCACTCCCTCTCTCCCAAAGGCTTGCATGCTGAGACTGTGTCTTGTTCACTCTTCAATCCCACCATCGAGACTATGTTTCGTTCAGGGTAAATATATTTTGAATGCATGAATGAACCAATGAATGAGTGTATAAAGGGTAGAAACAGTTGCCACTGACAGAGCTCAAGTGTAAGCTGGGCCTGGAATTGTATATCTGGACACTCTGAAGCCAATTGTCTTTATGGTTTTGTGACTCCATAACCAATATTCCCTGTAAGATGCAGGTTTTGTGGCTGAAAAAATTCATACAGTGAAGGATAGTTGTATCTAATATATTCTTTTTTTTCTAATATATTCTTTTAAGTATGTTGGAGGCACAAAGAAATGTTGCAGAGACAAATAACTAAGTACAATGGGCAAGTGTATTGAGGCCATTTTTAAAAATTCGAATTTCAAAAACAGCTTGTTGGAGCTCACCCCAACCTCTAATTAAGACTGACCCAAAGCCATGCACTTAGGATTTTTGTCCTTATCATTTTCAAGGAAATCTAGTTAGTAATTAAGTAAAGCCTCATCACATCGCAACACACCTTACATGGCCCTCTATGACCTCCTCACCACTGTTTCCAAAATAAATTCCAATGGTAGAACACCTAAATTTGCAATGGCAATTACTACTTATTTTTCTGTTTATGAAGTAACAACCTATTTCCTCTACTAAACACACATAAATCTTGAAAACTGTTCTCCATGATTCTAGTTTAAAGGAACATTCTATAATCCAAACCCCTGCCATTTGCAGATAGCAACAGAAAAGATTTTTTGGCCTTTATACTGTGACTCATGTACCTTTATTCCCACAGTTGTTACTCAGGGCAGGCCAATGGTGAAAACAATGGAAAAGAAACAATAGTTTATAACTGGAAAATAAGCACATTTGGGAGAAGTACATTCAAATCATTATCAAAGTAAAATATGCAGTAGCACCAACAAGAGCAAACAAAGCCCACGCAAGAGATGTGTAAATATTTCATGAGGCTAAGCCTTAATCAACTCTCTCTCCAAATCTTGCTGGTGTTGTAAACACTTCAGTCTCTTCCCGTCCCACCATGACCCAGATTCTTTGCAAAAACAAAATGCAAACATGGACCAGTGGATCTTTAACAAGTGTGTTGTGAAAAATTTTTAGATGGAGCATATCCAAAGTATTGATTTAACAGGAAGGAAAAGACACCTTAATGAGAGGTGGTTGCTTCTTGGTGACTCTCAGGGTGTTAGTTCTCCCCTCCTTCTCCAAACCCTTGCCTTTTCTCCTGCTTTCTGGACACTCACAGCACCTTAACCTTGAACTGCCTATACTCCAAGCAGCGACTTCTCCCGATGCTGCTTTAGAAGGCCTTTAACCCCGACAGGGACTTGCTGCCTTCCCAACACCCAAAATTCACTTTCCAGTATCTAAATACCTTCCTCTTTCCTCCCCTTCCACTATCCATTGTTGCGTCTGAAATGTTGCCCGTACCTTTTGGATCTGCCTGGATAGCACGAAGATCTCTTGTGTATACTGGTTGACAATGTTCTTTAGCTCTTTCTAAAATTCATCTCCAAAGAGCCATTTATAGCTTTGAGTCTCTAGCCAGATTTAATCTGGTTCCAAAGTTCACCTCTAGATACTGAACTGGTCTGTACAGTGGTTTCCTTTTATCATCCTCTGCCTGCCCTTCTTCTCTCTCAGACTATCTCAAGAAAGACTATATATGTGTACTTGGTTTTGTGTCTGTGTGTGTGTGTGTGTGTGTGTGTATACACACACACACACACACACACACACATTTTATATATAACTATAGCATTTTGACCTTAAAGGGAATAAGCGTAGGAAAATAAGACACATGCTGGTGTAGTATTGCCACACACACACACACACACACACACACACACCCCTATTGGGATATCCACAGTGTACAGACCCCATTGATTATAAATCCCCTTGCCCGACAATAAGAACAGCAGCGTCTTCTCCCATTTACCTTCAGCGCCAGAGCCTAAGGGAGCAATGACCTTGCAGAGAAATTCATCACCTGCGAGAAAGACCCTCCTGGAGTGCAGGATGGGATGGGGACAAGAGCAACAGGCAAAGGCTCACCAGGCAAGATGTGGGACCCAACCCACCCCCCATCAAGCACCAAGCACACCTTTGCTCGGGTCCCCCGGGGCTGGACGCAGGGCAGAGGTGGTACAGGGGGCGTCTCCTACCTGCTCTCGCCAGGCTCTCCCCAGCGCAACGAGGCCACTGCTTTCGCTGTGGCAGGGGCTTCCCGTCGCATATCCCAGCCGGAGGCTCTCCGCGCCAAACGATGGCTCCGGTGTGCTTGGGAGCGGCGGTTCTCCTCAGACCTGTTCCGGAGCGAGCAGGGTGCTCGCAGGAACTGAAATTACCGTGCAAAGAACAGAGGCGGCACGCAAAACCCGGGCGGAGACCGCCGGGGGCCGCCCCCACCACTGGGCTGCAGTCACGGCCAAGGGGAACAGACCAAACTGGAGGTGGGCGCTCAGGTGCTGGGCTGCTCATCCGTTAGGCCCGGGGTGCACCCGTCTGTCTTCGTAGGGCAGCGCAGCGGGCCTGAGCATCGGAGCCTTGGGTGGCAGCTTCGGAGGCGGTGGTAGCCAGGAAGGCAGCAGCAGCAGCAGCTGCAGGACGCCGAGCTCCGCCCCCACTGCACCCCCGCCCAGCCTTCTCAGTTCAGGGGGAAAGGGGTTGCAGCGGTGGCCGCTGCTGCGCGCTAAGGGTGGCTGGGCAGGGGCAGGCAGGTTATGTTTCTGCTGCAAGGAAACCAGAGGCAGGTGGGAGGTTAGGAAAGGAATTTAGTTAGGGAGCTGGAGCTGAGAGCGACTCAGCAGGAATTTTGGCCCTTGCTTGCTGCCACAGGTCACCAGACTCCATGGCTGTGTCTAGACTTTAGCAGACGGTTTCTTATAAAGCCATGTGCAGTGAAGATCTGAAAGCATGGAGACCACATGACGTTTGATGCTTGTTGCAGAATGTACACTATCCTGGGTATTTGGAGAGAGCATTGCTGACAGTGCTCCTTGTCCCGCTCCCGATACCCCTCCCCACACCTCTCCCACCTCCATGCGTGTGCATGGCTTGCGGAATTACCCTGTTGAGAGGCTCCAGCAATATTGAACGAGTGTGTAGTGTGGTTAGCAGCTGTAGATGGTGCAAAATGATACAATGAAAAGAACTGTTATTAACTGAGTATTTGTTGTCAGACACTGTGCAAAATGCCTTATATGTGCAGTCTCTCTAATTTTTTTGTAACAAACCAATGTGGTGGGTATTCTCCAATCTATTGATGAGACAACAGGCTTTGATGATTTAGACAACTGCCTGAGGTCACACAATAGTAACTTGCACAGCTGAATTCAAACTACTGCAAACTAGCTTCTCTCCACTAGCGCACGGGATGTACCCAAGGATCTTGTCAAGTGTAGATTCTAATTCAGTCATTCTGGGGTGGACCTGAGGATCTGCCATTCCAGCAAGCTCACAGGTGATGCCCATGACGCTGGTAAAGGGACCAAACTTTCTAAGTTTCTTCTTTCATGCCAGCTCTACTTGATTGATAGCAACTTCCTGAAGGCAGGTTAAGAAGGATTCAAAGGCTGTGTTTTGGCCCTTGAACAAAGGATTCTGCAACAAATTATCCCCTTTCGGTTTGGTTGGTGGAGGGAAGGTCATGACCAGTGTGCTGGATGGCCATCCCTGCAGTGGGCCACTTCTAGAATAGCACGTTTGATTAAGGAGCGCTTAGAGTGTGATATTTCAGGTACTGGCACACTAAGGACAGATGTCTCCATTCCAGTTGTCGCCCTCATTAAGAAAACCTTAAATCAAAATTTTCTACCAAACATTTGTATAACATAAAACACTTTACAAGGTGCTCACACGCATACTTGTGTCTGTCATAGTAACAACACTGCAAGGCAGGTATAATTTCACTTTCTCAGAAAGGAAACTGAAGTGGAGAGATTTTCTGGAAGTTGCCCAATTAGCATGTTTGTCGTGGACGCCCTGTGGTGACAGGTCTCCAGGTGAGGGTTGTTTTTACTTTACCACTGTATTAGTTTCTCAGTGATGCCGTGACAAATTACCACAAGTTTAGTGGCTTTACTACAACACAAATTTATTATCTTACCGTGCTGGAGGCTCAAAGCCTGAAGATAGGTCTTCGAGGACTAAAATTTGAGATTCAGCAAGGCCATGCATTCTTTTCTGGAGGCTTTGTGGGGAGAACCTTTTCCTTCCCTGTTTTTCCCCAGCTTCTTCAGGCAGCCTGCATTCTCTGGCTTGTGTCCACATCACTATGACCTCTGTGTCTGTCATCTCATCTCCTCTGACTCCAACCCTCCCGCATTCCTCTTTTAAAGAATCTTGTGATTACCTTGGGTCAATCTGGATTAACCTAGAATAATATCTCCATATCAAGGCCCTTACCTTAATTACACCAGCTGAGGCCCTTTTGCCTTGTAAGTAAGGTGGCATATTCATAAGTCCCAGTGATTAGGATGTAGATATTTTTCAGGGTCATTATTATGCTTCCCCAAACCTCACTTAGTACTTATCCTGCAGTTCCTACTATGCCTTATTCATTTTTTCTTGATTTTTCAGACTTCTGGGAAGTCATTTCAATGAAAAAAATGTACTTGAAAGTCATTCAAGAGACACCAATAAATGCACATTGATAAGAACACCCCCGAGGTCATGAAGAAGCCGCCAGGATGCACAGGGTTATGGTTATGAAAAGTGCACATAGTATTAGAAGCTGCTTGTTGGTCTGAATGACGCTGAGGTCATCCTTACGGGAAGCCCTAACCACAGTTAAAGGCATTTGTTAGCAATACATAATTTGCAAAATTCTGCTTCTCAAAAATTACATGTTCCATGATGAATAAGATGATCCAAAATTCTTACAAAATTGAGTATAACACCAAATTTCAAACAGAGTGAGAGTTTTCAAAGTGATAATGAGCTAAACCAGTATGCCAACAAAATCAATAAATATTATTAAACATCTTTTATGCTCAAGGCACTTATAGACTCTGACATACAGAAGTTTTTTTTAAATATTTTATTATTTATTTTCAGAGAGAGGGGAAGGGAAGGAGAGAGTGGGAGAGCAATATCAATGTGTGGTTGCCTCTCATGCGTCCCCTGCTGGGAACTGGCCTGCAACCCAGGCATGTGCCCTGACTGGGAATCAAACCGTGGTTGTTTGGTTCGCAGGCCTGAGCTCAATCCACTGAGCTACACCAGCCAGGGCAGAAGTTCTTTTTTAAAAATTTCACTTGGGACACAGAATGAAATAGAAATGAAACGAAATTGTTTTTTTTTTTATTTCATTTGGGACACAGAATGTTTGTGAAAAATGAAATAATAAAAGACCGAAATAGAAGAAACAATAGAAGCAACAGGGGACGGCACACGATTAGTTGCCAAGTGTGTTGCATAAAGCGGAAATGTAGTTGGGAAGGTAGGTTCGTACAAGGGGATGGGGATAAAACTAGAAGGGTAGGTTGGATGGTTGTGTTGTGAAGGAACTTCGATGTCAAGCTAAGGAACTTAGACTTAATCCTCAACAATAATAGCGACAATACTTTATGTTCACTCAGTGCTGAGTAATTTAACAAGTGCTTTCTACATATTTTCAGTCATTTGACTTCCTTTCTTCTGCCCCCAGAGAAGCAGGCAAGCACATACCACAGCACACAGCACATGAGGAAGGAAACGCAAACCATCTCTCAGTGAGGTTTTCTTGACCAGTCTACATAGAATAGCAGTTCTCCTTCCCCCTTACCTGCTATTCCTCTAGCTTCCTTACCCTGCTTTGCATTTTTTTTTCACTAGGCTGACTACAACCTCTGGATAGAGTATGGTATATGTTTACTATATGTCTACTGTCCATGAGAGCAGGGACTCTGTCTATTTTGTTCACCTTTATATCCCTATTGTCTAAAGTGGTGCCCAACACTTATTAAGTACTCAGTGCTTGTTGAATGAATCATTATCCCCAATTTACAAACCAGGAACCAAAATGCCAGATGTCTAAATGACCACCACTATGTCCCGCAGCTGTTAAACGCCTTTATCAAGACTGAAGCCCAATATCCGGCCCAATGCTTTTTGATACCATGTTTTCTCTCTGAGTGAAAGCTTGTTAGTGAAAGTTTAAATAAGGTCAGGAATATATTTTTTTAAAGATAAGAATTTGAGACTAGAATCTTCTCTACATGTCACATCTTTTCTGAAAACTTCATCTGTTTAGCTGGATTGGCAAGAAGCCCTGGCAGGGTGGAGGAGACTGTAGATTTGGAGGGCTGACATCGGTTCTGTGGTGGTTGGCGCTGAGGACTGCTGTATGTATTTTGTAGTCATCCTCCAGGTAATTCACGTCTGCCTGTCTTGACACTCTATATTATGGGATTTTGGGACTCAGAAACCATAACTAACTTTTATATCCCTGCATTCTGCCCAACACTGGGCTCTAAATAGATTTATCATGGCATGGTTACAAGATGGAGGACATCTCTCCAAAAATCATACTCTTACGAAGTACATTCAAGACCGTGTAGGGAATCTGAACATGCTACCACAAAATATGCCACCTTGGCATGAGGACTGAGTTGGAGGCAAATGGAATTAACAGATACAAAAAGAAGCCTTCTTGGAGCTTCCCTTATCTGACTAAAAGCAGAAACTTCCAAGAAATGAGGACAGCCATAAATCCTCTCTTCAGGGGAAGTTTTATGGCCATGAAGAAGACAGAAAGTAAGCACCAAAAGGGATGTGGAAATAAATCTTATTAAAATAGCCCATGTTTTCCGTTGGGTTCCTCTTCCTACAATTTGCCACCCCCTTAAAGTCTATACCCTATTTCCTTCATTTTATCACTTTCTCTACAAATGTATCTTTCTTTGTTAAGATGCTATATAAGCCCAAGTTCTGACTACCCCTTTGAGTCACTCATCAGTGACTTTCTTCTGCAAATGTTAATAAACTCTATCTTTTCTTCTTGTTACTCTGTGTTTTGTCTCATTTGTCAGGCCCTGGCCAGTAACATGGCAGGGTAGAAGAAAAAGATTTTTGTTTGTTTGTTTCTCCTTTATAGTGGGAAGAAAAAATTCCAGTGGAAAAGGGAACCTCTATTTTTTTTTCATGAAAGAAAAAAAAAACCCACTTCTCAGAACCTACTTGCTTACTTCCAAGTAATTGACCAGAATTTGGTCACCAAATCACTAAGGCGGGCTGTGAAAAGTGAACACCTACCAAGAAGAAATGGGCTTGCCTTGATTTTTGTAGGCCAGACATCTTGGTACCCCAATAAATACTATGGTTCTATTAGTAAGAGAACCCCAGTTAGTAAGAGAGAAGTAAGGTAGGCTCTGGGTTCATCATTTTTCATGGAGAATCAGTATAGAAGCAGTGAAGACTCACATTAAAGTCCATTTTGATGTTACCTGTCTGCATTTAGGTTCCTGGAAGAACACAGCAAGCCATATAAGTCGGGCTTCTTAGTATTTTCCTCCTCCCTTCCCCTTCTCACTTCCTTTCTTCCTCTTTCTTTCCTTTCCCTTCCTTCCCACCCTCCCTCACTTCTTTCTTCCT